TTTAAATTCATATTTCATTTTTCCAATAATGGATTTTTGCCTTTTTTCTCGAAATTATCGACTGAACCCCTATTACCTTCAAAAACAAAATGAATAAATAATTAAAAAAATTAATTTTGTAAACATTTTTAAAAAAAACAATTACGCAATATGAAAAAATTCTTTTCACTCGATTATTACATTATACAAAATAATGATAGCCACTCAAAAATTTTTGTCACATGGCAAGTAAAATAACGAGAGACACGATCACGTCCTAAAAATAAATAAATTCAAAATTTCTGAAATGAGTAAAACAAATAAAAAAAAATGTTTTGTTTTTTCTATAATAGAGTTTTCTATAAAACAAAATTAATTAGAAAAAATTTAATTCATAAATTTTTACTTTTCAAACTTCCGACATATATTTTTTTTTAATTAAACACTTTAATATACAATTACAGAATATTTTATATATTTTTCATATACATAAATGCGTATACGCAACAAACATGTAAAATTAAAAAACAAAAGTATCAAAATTTACAAAGAATAAAATATAAAATAAATAACATATAAAAATAACATGCAAAATGCAAAACAACATCATGAAAAACAAAAAATAACATTGAAACAAAGGTGGATAAATAGCATTACAAAACAAATACAAAAACAAAAAAAAGAACTATACGTTTAACAATTTGATAAATAAAAAAAAAGTTTAAAATTAAAGTAAATTAAAAAAAAAATTTATATGATAAAACAAATAAATAATAAATTTAAAAAAATCATTAGTAATTAAAGAAGAGAAGTTTTCTTTTTCTATACAGTATGTTTCGTAATAATTATATAAGATTATTAAAATCATTATATAAAATTACTTAGTTTATTAAATTCTCTATTTTCTTGAAACATTCTTTATATAAAAACTTTATATCTCTTCTTTTACGTGATCTAATAATTTCTATTTAAATATACAAAAATCAAAAAAAAAAAAAACAAAACAAATGAGAAAATCACGTATAAAATTAAAAACAAATAAACAAAAAAAAAAACTGAATTTCAAAATGTTTAGGTAATATTTATTATTATTATTACTATTATTATATTATTACTTACTATTACTTAAAAAAAACCTAAAAATAAAAAAATAAAATCCCAAAAAAAAAATTTTTTAAATTATGTAAAACTGAATTTTTCGCTACAAATTTTTTAATTTGAAAACAACAAAAAAAATAAATTAAGCATAACAAACCAAAGCATTTAATTTGTAAAACACTAAAAAACAAATGTTGAAAACCAAAAAAAACAGTGTTTTTTTTTTTAAATACATAGTATTTTATTTGTCAAAAAAAAAATATTATAAATACAAAACAATACAAAAAATTATATCTGAACTTAATAAAAAAAAGGAAAAATACAAAAAAAAAATTAATAAAACAAAGTAAAATAAAAAAAAAATTAATAAAATGATTTTAAAATAAAAAAAAATAAAATTGATAAAAAGCAAAAATGAATGAAAACAAAAAAAAAAACAAAAAAAATATATAAATTCAGTGTAATTTTATGTGTGATGTATAAAAACAAAAAAAAAAATCGGAAATAAAGCGTTTTAGCCACTATTTAATTTAATTAAAAATTGTTTTTTTCTTATTTACTCACCCGTATGCAATACAATCCCTACACATGACATCTTTCAAGGCTATGCAAAAAAAACGAAAACATACATTACATACATATATCAACTTGTAGATCATGATTTACGAAAAACAAAATCAAAAAAAATATTTAATCAGCTATGATAACATATCTCCTAAAATAACATCATACAATAAAAAAGCATGGACTTAGCTGATTACGTAAAAGACATACTTACAAAAAGCTATTTTGTCTCTTCTCTAAACCGCATTTTCAAATTATCTTAGCTGATACGAGTATTCAGAGAATAATTTTTTTATAACAGTATAACATGTGGGCAAAGATTTAAAATTTTCCATAAAAAAACTTTTATATAACACTAAATTCTCCCTAATTGCCTTAAATAAAAGTCATCAATAAATGGGAATAAAATAAGTTTTTTACTCAAAATTTTCATAATGTTAGGATTTTGAGTATGAAGTTCGAATATTTTCTTTCACACCAAAAATAGTGCTTGGTTATGCTTTGAGATATGATACGGGTATGACACTGCGTATCTTGGTTTAAATTGAAAATTTCGGTTTTGTATAACATAGTAGAAAGAAGTTTTCAGATGTCTAATAATTGGAACAATTTTTTATGCACTATTCTTTTTTCTATCACTAAATATTATATATACTATATTGAGGAGCGTAAATTTTCTAAATTTTTAATCTGAAATTTTCGAGTTTAAGAAAATTTGCAGTATAAAAAATAAAATACATTGATGAAGCATGAAAAATATATCCTGAATCAGTTTTATCACATTATTTAAAATATGCTCTGCTATTGAATTAAAAAGTTTTAAAAAAGAAAGGAAAAAACTTAAAATATAATATAAAAATAGTCAATAAATTAGTTCAACACGCATGACTTTCGATAAATTTATTGTTTTCTTATTTCCTTTAAATATTACAATTAACATTTTTTAGCATAAATTTATATGTATATATATATATATACATATAAATTAATATATATACATATATATATATACATTTTATATTTATACAATGTATGTGTTTTTAAATATAATAATTCCATCATTATATAATCCATCATTAATATTATTTTTATGTTATCAAACAAATCGTAATATATATTATTTTTATATACATACATATTAAATATATATTTATAATAAGTATATATATGTATATGTTCGTGCATAAATATGATATATATTAATAAATATATATACCAACGTAAATATATTTATTCATTTACCTTCTAGCTTTAAATTAATTATAAAAAAAAAACATGAATTATATATGTATTAAAAACTCAAATTTTTAAAAATTTTCAATTATTTAATTGAACTTAATTTTAAATGATAACGCACCTTGTATTTATTACTATTATTAATTTCATCTTTAATTCTTTTAATGACACGAAAAATTTAATTTAATTTAAATTAATTTTTATCCAAAGTATAATAAATTTATATTTACAGGATATAGGATTTTTATTAAATTTAAAGTCTGAATTTTAAATTTATTCAAAAAATGAATAGGGAACACAAAACAAATTTTAAAACAAAAGTAAAATCTTTTCTTGAAAATATTAATTTAATTTTTTTTTTTTATTTATTGAAATTTTTACTTAATCTGTTTTGTCATAATATAATTATATTTTAAAAATTACATTTAAATTTTTATCGACATTTCTTTTGACACAAAAGTTTTATAAAAATAATTTATACTTGATTCGCTGATATTAATTATGAGTTAAAAGAAAAATTAAAATACAATATCGTATGAAAAATATATTAAATAAATTTTTTAAATCAATGCAACAAATTTGTATTCTAATGGTTAGCATAATTTTATAAACCAAATGCATACGAGATTTTATTGCATTTGGTTTTTCAAAAATATGAAATTTTCTGTAAAGTTTTCTATTATAAATGCAACTGTTTAATACAAATTTGGCACATCGATCTTAAAAAAATTATTAAATAAAAGAACACAACTAATTTATTTTTGTAAACAACTTAGAATTAAAAAAAAATATGTTAGAAAGCAACAATAAATACAATATATATTTTTTTTGTTTTGTAATTGAAAATTAAATCAGTTTTTCTTATATTCTCTTAAATAATTTATTAATAGCACATATAAGACCAAATTTTAGTTTTAATTTATTCTTGGTGTATCACTACAATATTATTTTGTTTTTTATTATTTTTTTTTTTTACCTCTTTTTTTTTCTTGCGATTTTCACAAAAATTTTTGTATATATTAATAGGCATTTTTTGTTGTTTTCTTTGAAAATTATTTTCTTAGTTTCAATTTTTTTTTATCTTAAATTCTAACTTAAACAAGTTTGGTATTTTCATTTTGTTTTTAATTGTCTTAAGCGCTATATAGTAGCGTTAAATATTTTCCTTTGTTATTATGTATTTATATTCTGTGAACATTACTCGTTATTAAATCTTGTAACTTCTACCATTTATGAATTTATAGAAAACGTGACATAGAACAAGAGTATAAGCAATTTTCCATTTTATATTTTGTTTATAAAAAAAAAAACAAAACAAAAATGTATAGAAATCAACATACAACAACTTAATTTAATTAATTAATTTAATTCTATGTATTTAAATTCTAATTATATATTGCCTACTATTGTTTTATTTCTTTTATAATTCAAGCGGAATTAATATAGAAAACAAGATCAAAAATTAAACTATTTCATTTTTAAAACAGCATCACACGCAAATGTAAAAATAATTTCAATGTTTATAAATATTTTTTATTTTATTACTGCACATACTATTTTTCAATATTTTGCACACTGAAACGTATTATTTGATTAAAATAACCTTTTTGTATTCAAAATATTCTATTTTCTTTTTGTTTTCTTTTTATTTACTATTGATTGCAATTCATTAATTTGTAAATTTTTATTAGCAATGGGAGCTTGATCGAAATACTGAAAAATAAAATTTTTTAATTACATCTACTAAAATTGTTTTTTTATGCGTATAAAAGACCGTTTATTATAATTTGGTTTTTATATTCAAAATGGTTTAATATATATAATTATATGTATATTTATAGCGTCCAGTATATAAAAAAAATACAAATTATTCAAAATTTTTTTGAGAAAATCTTTCACAAATTTTTTAAATTGTTTTTGTCGTTGTTGTTTTTTTTTAATTTTTTCATTTTATTTAAAATATTGTGTATTGAGCGTTGCATTTGTTTAACTTATCTTAGTATTTAAGTTAAGGACCAAAAAATATTCATTCGACGATACGTACTGCGCTATAATGATGAAATAAAACGAAAAATATAAAATTTTGCTATTATATTTGAAACATTTATTTTGCATTTCATTTATTTTATAAAAAAAAAATAAAAAAGTAAGCTTCTTGAGTTAAAATTCATAAAAATTCATAATTATATTGAAATCAATCATTTCTTAATGAATATTGATGCAATATTTAGTAGAGTTGCTTTTATTTTAAGCTTATACCATAATGGCAATTCTATTTATATATACATAAGATAGTTCATGATAATTTATGTTAATTTTTAAATTTTTAAAATTCCGTATTAAATATAATGTTAGATGTTAAAAATTGTTAACAGTCATAATATTAAAACTACATTATTACAATATAAATTTGTTTAATGAAATTCATCTTAAGTTAATGTAGATAATTCAATATAATATGGAAATTGAAAAAAAAAATCATGGGCTAGTTGTATTTAACATTGCGCGCTAAAATAGCCTTTTTTATGGTATTTTTGCCTTCATAATGTTTTTAAAAGTTCAGTTGCATGATTTTGTTTTAAAAACAATTGTAATAAACAAAAAAAAAAGTTGCAGATTTTTAAACGATTAATTTTTTTTAAAACAACGCAATTTTAAAATGTTAACTATTCTAAAATTATACAAAAAATAATTTATACATATTATGTTAGTAAAATTTTTGCGTTAACATATTCTCAAAAAAACTATTTTAATTTTTATTCAATTTATGTACAATCAAGTCTTGTTTAATTACTTAAACTTCCAAATTGTATTATTAAAAAAAAGGAAACAATAAATTTGCGTTTTGTAATTACCATTATTTAAAAAGGAAAACAAAAATATATGGTTTTCAATAAGAAAACTTTCATTACACAATTTTTTTTTACTCCTTTATATTAAAGTACCAATAAATATCTTGGATGACAAGCAAGGATGTGGTCAATTTTTTGGAAATACATCTTCAATATTAACAAACGCACATGCACCTAAAGAATTATTTGCCATTAATCTAAGTAATTCATGAGCATGAGCTACACATATTTCTAAAGGTGGTCGCCATGAGTAATTCATTGATTCTAAAAAAAAAAATTCATTACACATATTTATTCTTGATAATTTCAGCAAAAATACCTAAAATGGCTGAGTTAAGAGCTGAACAAACTTTTTCTCTTTTCGAAGGGCATAATTGCCAACCTAAAGGACTTGACCAAGGATTAGAATAAGCTATTAAACTGAATGCATCCTGCAAAAATGGAGAAATGTTAATAGAACTGTTCTTTAAATTTTAAAGTTAATTGAGCTTACTTCTAACATTTGACGATCATCGTCATTCATTTTGTTATCTTTTTCTAATTGTTGTCCCATTTGTGATAATTCTCTGCCAAATTCTAATATTCTTTCAAAAGATCCAACTTTTCTAGCTGTCGGTACATCTATTTCTGAAATTTTACCATGAAAATTGAAAATTCACATATTTTATGCATATAACATATTTAACTTGTTAGAATTCATATATTAATATAAAGTAAATTTCTTACCCATATCTTCATCAGTATCTAAAGAATTGACGAAATTATTTTCTGTATTGCCATTTTTATATGAATTTCCTATAAGTAAAATTGAAATTGAGGAGAAATTTTAAGTAAAACATTAAGTCTTTTCATTACCATTAGAAATATGTCCGTTTTCCATTTCAATATCATTTATATAATCGCTATTTGAAGTTGTCAAGTCATTACTCGGATCTGAATTATTGCATTTTGATGAATCTTGAGATGTGTCACTTTATTATATATATATATAGAAATTATTATCTCAATAAATAAAACATACAAATAAATATCAAAGTAAGTAAATATTTCCGTAAACTTACTTGTTGTTTTTTATTTCTTGCTGATTATCTTGAACGCAATCGTTTATCACATTATTATTATTATTATTATTGTTATTATTATTCTGCGTAGCAGATCCATTTTGATACGATTTGGTTGACTGTATAACTGAGGTTTGATTAGGAATAGGTTTGGCAGGTGGGCATTCAATATCTGATCCGTTCACCATTTCTATAAATTGTCTGCATTTTAACATGAACAATAAATTTTTATTATTTTCTAATAATCCTGGATAAAGGCGACAGGTATGTTCTATTGCTTGTCCCATTCGTCCCGACATCACCAATTTTAAAATTTCTAAACCGAAATATAAAAATAAGTTTAAAACTTGCTTTCACAATTTTAAATTTGTTTTAAAGTCTTTTAAAAGCAATAATACGATATATTTACTTTGGCGATTTTTTATTGAAGTTAGATCTTCACCAAAACTTTGGCCGGTGGTTTTAGCAAAAGACTCTGCAGTTAAACTGTACCCACTATGCACTAAATATGATGAGACCATTCTAGAATAGGTTTTACATTTAATTTATGAGCACTAAAATAATAATACTTTTTTCAATAAAAAAACCTACTTGTGCAATAAAACAGTTGAGTCGCCTTGACTTGTTGGCATTGGAAAATTATATATTGCTGTTTTCGTTTCGGCTCGCATTTGTTTAATCATATCTTCAATTTGATCAAATTTAAATGGCTCTTGTCCAAAGTTTGCATTCACTTCTTCTCCGGGAGTTTGTAAACCAACAGTTGGATAAAGTTTCGACTAAGAAATGCACATATAAAATAACTAAACCTATTCAAATTTCAAAGGAAAAATCTAATTACCGGCAAATCTCTAAATGCTATCCCAAGATCTATACCATTTTTTGTATAAAAGCATGTATTATTAACTAAATTTACACCACAACCTATTACATCTCCAGTTGTAAATGTAGGGCCATAAGGTTGTCCACTGCCTGACGAACAAAATGAGTTGCCATCATCCCCATGATATCCATATGAATTTTTATCCCATCCTTAAATTAAGATACATTTATTCGTATAATTGTTTTAAATAAAAAAAATCTATAAACCAACCTGGAAGTCGATTCATTTTAAATGTTTGCGAAGTCAATCCTATACCCATATATCCATTTTTGCCCTTAGATATTATTTTAACTTCGAAATAGTATAAACCACAAGCAGCTGGAATGGGATGTGATGTTCGTACCGCAGCCGCATCACTATGAGTTTTTCCTGGACCTACAAATATTACAAAATTTTGTTATATATCATTTAAACACAATGTATGATTATTTTGAAAAATGTGAACGCCTCGATAAAAATTCAAATATCATTTATAAACACCAAAAACCGAAATGAACATGAAGAATTAATTGTATGCAATAATAGATATGTATACGCGTTTAAATATTCAAATCTTAAATGATTCTTGCACGACTCAATAATGTTCTTTATAGCATTGATTTCAATGTCAGTTTAATAAGAACAAAGAAACGTTATTTATTCTCAATTGTATCATAAAATAGCCAAAACAAAACATAAAAACAAAAAGAATGTTAAAGGAAAATTTACATCTGTTCAATTATCTGTATATTAGTATTAATTTTTTTTTGAGATTAAAAAATTTACAATTACATATTAAAATTAGGACTGAAATGAACGATCATATTTCATATCTACATAATTAAACAAAACATTTAAATAATATTTATTACGATAAATGTAAAACATACTCCGACCACATCTGAGGGATGTGTACCTAAGTATGAAATAGAAATTGTATATTGAAAATGACGTCATATTTTATCCTTCGAGTGACAAAATTTTTATACTTTAAGGTACTACTATCAGACATTTTCTTTTACGTACTAAGGGCAACGACTCCTTTTTTTTATATAAAGATATAAGCAATCCCCCATAGTACAATAAAAGCATAATGTGCTTGTATATCTGCATAAGTAGGTAGATACTATCACATTTTTTATACTCATATTAAAAAATGCAAGTGCATTAAATTAATTATGCAGATAAGCAATTACTTATACTAAAATATAAGTTTATAAAATTAAACAGGTGGGTAGGTATCTATTTGTATATTTATCAAAGTAGATTACCTGTATATTTTCAAAGCACAAGTAACAATTTTATGTTTAATAGAAAAAATTAAACATAATGATAATTACATTACAAGCAGGTACATACCTACATAAATTAATCCAGGTGAAAATATTAATTAAATAAAAACCTAACTGGGTAGAAAATGTAAATTTAATAAAAAAATGTTAAAATCGTACAATTTTCTAAACATGTAGACAAAGGAGAAATTCAATTTATAATTTTTTACTGCGTATAATAATTTTCCAAAATTTAAAATTAAATAACCTACCTATAAATTTCTTAAAATATAAATTTAATTTCCCTTGCAAACAAAATATCGCAAATGTACTTATTTATATTTTTATGTAATGTAAACAATAACCCAGACTCTACACTTTACGTAAAAAGAAAATAATAACAAAAATAAAACCATGGCGTAAAAAGTGTCTAATTTTATTATTGTGTTAGTAAATGCTTTTGTTCTCCTGACAAATTTAAGAGCTAAAATTATGAAAAAAAAAACTTGCCAGTATATTTTCTACGTACATATCTACTTCTCTAGCTTATATCAAATTCATTTATAGTACGAGAAAGGTATATTTATATGAACAAATATAACATTATGTGTGAATGCCCTTGGATATTAGTTGTGAATTTTATAATATAATTTTTAATTATTTTAATAATTTGCATAAAAATTTTTAATTTAATTTGGTTTAATTTAATTATATTTTTGTATTTAATAGTGACAAGATATTGGCTGAAAGATCAGCTGATTGTTGTATGTGTTGGTTGGGGTTCAATAAATAGACAAAAAAAAATCAAAAAAGGTGAAAAATGTCTCTATTGTCTCGTTAAATGTATATATATATTTTTTTTAATAAAAATCTTATTTTAGAAACAAAATTTCAACTTTAATTTAATTATTTTTTGTATTTCAAACAGTATCGTTAAAAATATTCCATTTTTATTTTAATTTAATTTAAAATTCCAAATCAAAAATCACAGTATGCTTATTTTATAAAAATAATTTTTAATGATTGTTACCTTTATAATGAACACGTAAATTATTTTGTGATAATCCGATAGCATGGCACTTATCATGAGGACTCCAAGAGCGAGGCAGTGGAGTTTCTTGTTCGTTAACATTTGGATAAAGTATTTTTAAGCGATCGACTGGATTTTGCACTGAGTGATTATTACTATGATTGCTAATATGTCCGTCCATTTTTTTTCTATTAAAAATTATACCATCAATATTATTTTCTTTCGCTTGCTCAGCCATTAAGTATCGAACAAACACAGCAAACTGTATTAAATTGTTTTTTTCCCAATTATAAGATGTTTTATTTTGATACTTGCTGCGTAAAATATTTTATTTTTCACTTATTTTCAAACAACTTTTCAAAATTTTACTTTTTCTTTGTACTACAAAAAAGAAATCAAAATCAACATTTTATTGAAAGACCACAATGACAATGATTGAAAAATATCCCCACCAACCTTAATTGTCAAAAACTAATTTTAACTGTCAAAAAGTACTGAAACGCTACCCAATGAAATTATATTAAATATGCCATTGGAACAAAGAAATACATTTTTAAATTTGTAAACATTTTCAAATTAGTTTTCAGTTGTTTATTTCGATAGAAGTTCTAATAATGAACTTTATTTAGAATAGTATAAACAAAAAACAAAGTGTAGTATATTTTATTTTCACTATTGAAGTTGCATTAAGCGAAATATACGACCTATTATTTACAATGCAATCCTTTTCTTTCAGTTACATTTTCTTCGATTATTAAAATGGCGTTTATTTTCATTTTTTAATTAAAATGAAAGTTTTTTTAATTAAAATGAAGTTTGATACTTGGATTGGGATTTGCAATGGATTATTGTAAATTATATAATATTTTGATTTTAACATATAAATCAAATTTGAACATTCAGTTTATTCTAAAAACTACATTCTATTTGAATAAATCATAGAAAATATGGGTAATAATAATGTTAACGACGTCTCTGAAAAAATGCGCAATAACTAAGGTTAGAAATAACAAAACAGAACTGAATACATAACTATGAACAATGATAACAACTAGTGAAAGTACAATGAAATAATAAAGAATAATATTGTGAATACTTTTTTAAGTGAATTTTAAAATGTCACGTTAGTTTGAGTCTGGTGAATTGAGAAACGAGAATAAAAATTTTTTTGACAGCTGATAATAATATTATATATTAAATGTCTTACTTATCGTTATAGTCAAACAAACAAAATAAGAGAAAGCAAAGTTTGTTTGTGATGTTAATTTGATATGAGCATTGTGCGGCTTGAAAATATAATTAAATTCAACATTTAGTTTATCAACTTACGAGATTCACTTAAGCATTTAAATAATGAGTTCAAATAATTCTGCTTTAGCACATTTAACAGCCACTTATACAGATTCAGAGAATGAAGAAGAAGTTAATGATAATGATGAAGGCGACAAAGATGTAGAAATGGCAGATTCTTTAAAACAAAAACAACCAACATCATCTGTTCCATCACCACAGTCAGCTGAATCAAATCAAGAACATCCTTCAAGCAAAAAAGCGTTAAGACTTGTAAGTTATCATGATGATACTTATGTTTCAGATGAAGATGATAATGCACCACCACCCAGCAATGCTATAGTAATTAAACCAAAAGAAGAGCCAGCAGAAACAATTAATGATGTTAAAGATGAGGATATTCATAGCAAGTACACCCACTATGGTTTCACTTTGCCAAGTGAACCTAAGGGAAAACCAAGTTTGGAATTAATAAAAAAAATACAACATTTATATAATAAAATGGAAACAAGTAATATGGACATGAACAGGGTCATTCAAGAAAGAAAAGAATTTAGAAATCCTAGTATATATGAAAAATTAATTCAATTTTGTGATATCAATGAGTTTGGTACTAATTATCCAATTGAAATGTATGACCCGTTTCAGTGGGGACCTGAGAGTTATTACGAAGAATTAGCTAAAGTTCAAAAAAATGAAATGCTAAAAAGACAGAAAGAAAGAAAAGAAAATGATAAAATAGAACAAGCAGCGGCAGCAGCAAGAAAAGTTGAAGAAGAAGCAAAAAAGAGGTTAGTTGGTTTAATAAAAATTTAGTTTTTTTTTTTTTTAAATTTATTGTATTTTAGAAAATCCAAATGGGATCAACCAGCACCATCAGTAGTGGTTAAACCCACAATAACAGCTTTAACGGCGAGTGTCACGGGAACAAAAGGTACTGTTATATCAGCTTTCGGCTCATTACCTAAAAAAATTGGATGAAAATATTTATACGAAATATATTTTGAGTAAGATCAAATTAAAATTTGTTTTTAATCCATAATTGACAAAAGCGGTCTGTTACAACTAATTTTTCTCATAAATCATGATGGAATCAATTGAACACTATTGTTTTTATACAAAACATTAATAATTACATAAATATTTATGTAAATATGTAAGTATTTTTTAGCAGTTAAGACATTAGTTACAACTTTACCAAATAGGAGGTTGAGAAAAGAAAAAATTTATGATTTACATTGAGAACTCTAGGTTGGTCTATATGAAACATTGTGGTCGTTTGTTGAATTGCAGTGGTTTAGGATTTTTGTAAAACTTTGACCCTTGTAGAAATATTAACTACTGTCGGAATGAGTTTATCTTGAGAATATTGTGTTTTCAGAACACTGATTTTTTTATCGTTGAAGGTACATACTTGGAGCGTAGGTGCATACTTCATTTTTTTTTTATCTTTAGAGCGTAGGTAATATTTGCCATGTAATGAATTTTTGATTAATGGATATAAAATTAATCGTTGATAATTTTTATATTTTTTTATTACTAATTTGTTATTTCTTTTTTTATATCATCATTTCTTCAAATTGTCTTTCGAATTCTCTTAGGGATTATAAATTTTAACATAAATAACAAAAAGTAAATAAAATTAGAATATATTTTTTATCATTTATTACGTTATGTAAATGGATACTAAGTACATAATAGCTATATACAAAAATACAATATATATAATAATTAATTTTCTAAATACAAAATAATTTATAATGTTATAATATTTTCAATAGTATTTTTTTTATATATTTAAAAACTATGTTTTTACGAAATTATAGACAGAATAACTTTTTATATAAATTATGGTATACTTGTATTACATTAAATTTAATTATTATGTACATTCATAAGTATGAACATATTAAACATTTTATAAAAAGTTTGGAATTATGTTCCTGATACTGTCTTTAATTAAACTCTTAAAAGCTTTTACAATAATATTATCTTATTATGTATGTTAATTTTTTTTATTCTATTGTAAATTGAATTGCACTTATTTTACTAGAGTTCGTAAATATTAGTTTTTAACTTTATCTGAAATAAATTAAATTATTTCAAAGAAAGTTACCCAAATTTATTGCACATCCGGCCACTTAACATATCACATTTATGAATTATTTTCAGTTAAAAAATAAAATTAATATTATGCTATAATTTAATAATAAATACATAAAAAAGTTTGATTCTTATATATAATATAATATTGCACCAATATTTTGGTAATTTGCAGATTTATTGCACACATTTAAAATTATATCTAATGTACCTACAATATTGCAACAAACTTTTATGTTAATGAATTATATTAATATATTCATATTAATTTTTAAGTAAATTAAATAGGTTTGGGTGAAAAATAGATTTTAAATTAGTAGAAATTAAAATTGAAACGATTTTGTACAGAAACAAAAAAAATTAATTTTGCAACTTTCAATTGTGGCTGCTTTACGTAGCCATTAACTAAAAAGGATTTAAAGTATAAAAAATTTTTTGTAAAGGATAGTTACTATTTGTTAAATTTAGGATTTTTTTCGAATATTTTTAAAAAATACAGAATGTGTTTCAACACTTTCAGCTCCTGATTCTGATAAATCCTCAGTATTTCCACCATCGTCATCAGATTCAGATGCTGTAACAATAACATTTTCGTCTTCAAGACAAGTATATTTATTATGACCATTACTTTCTACATTTATTGCATTATTTTCTTTACTATTACTACAAAATGAATTTTCTTCATGTCTACCTTTTAAACTTGAAATAATTATAATTTCATTGTTGCTTTGATTCTCATTGCTAATATTACTATTGTCATTATTACTACTATTGATATTATTATTATTTGTATTACAATTGTTGATTTTATTCTTATTGGTTATATCTGATAAATTATCTTCAATTGTATCTACTAAAGTTATATGTTCTGTTTCTGTCATTGCTTTGAAATTAAATCGTTCATAGTATCGTCTAGCATAAACTTCACTTGAGTCAGCGCTCATATATCCGCTGTCTAATTCATGCTTTTGTTGCCCGTTTAAATAATTTGGTTCGCAAAAATTATATCGACCAGTTAATAATTTATTCGTTTTAATAATTTGTTTACAATTAATTTGTTCATCTTCATTTTGTATTTCATTGCGTGTATTATTTTCAGATTTATCGTAAATAGAACGACTCAATATAATTTCCTTCTCAGTAACTAACAAATCTTTGTTCTTTTGTTCCTGTACGCGTAAATCTGAATTTTCATCCGATTTCATAGCACTATTATTTGAACTTAATTTGGAAGTTGCCAGACATACAAAACGTTTCCATGCATTCTTTAGATCCTTTGATTTCTTAGAACGATCTTTCAATCCCATAGCTATTTGCATTCCATTCATAGGGGATTCTATTTCAACGCGATATATTTGTTTTATATTAGAGTTTTGATCGGGACATATCAAGCTCTTGGAATATTTGTTTGCTTCTGAAGATTCTGTGATATTTTCTGATATTTTTATTTCGGATTTTTGATAATTTTCACTTTCATGCTCCTTATTTTTTTTTCGATTTAAGTATCTGTCATAACTGCGGTCACCATTTAAATTGATATGCTTGTTTTTTGACCTAATTGATGGGAATTCGGATAATGATACTACATTTTGATTAATTACTGTTGAATTTATTGGAGATTCAGTTTGATTTCGAATGGCACTATCGTTTGTTGTATTATCATTACTATTATTACTATTCGTTTCATCGCTATTATTTGATATTGGCAAATTAACAATAAAATTTTTTCGAAATTTATTTTTATGCTTCCTACTATTTTGTTGGCTTTCTTTAATTCTATCTTTGGATTTAAGATCATCCTCAAATTCCGAGTTTCCTTGGGTATCTGAAACACCGGTAATTTCAGTGGATTCACTATGATTACTAATTGTTTCTTCTGTATCATCATGTGAAAAATAATCAGGATCATGTTTATTTTTGTTTGTAATGTTATTAAATTTATTATTATTATTTTTAATAACAATATTATCATTATGATTTCCACTGAAATTATCAGTGTTCCAACCCTGGAAGTTTTTTCGAATGTTATTTGTATCTCCATTTAATAAATTTTCTTCTTCTATAGCACTATTTGCTGTAGCAGTTCTAGATTTTTTTATGTCATGATAAAGTTTACTATCATTATCTTCTTTACTTCCTCCGCTATTGCTGATATTATTACCATTATTATTATCTGTGATTGTGGTTGGTACCACATCCGGTGGTAGCACTTTTGAACTTCTATCTTTATCCTGTATTTGCCTTTGACGTCTTGTATGCTTCGCTTCTAGGGTTAAAAGTCTTCCTTGCTCTGTTGAAAAATCTACGTTAGTTAACTTTGGTCTCTGATGTGGATTTCGATGAGCTTTTGATTGATATATTTCCCTTAAACTTCCAAAAGACGGCCTCGATTCAAGTAAATTAGAATTAATTTCGTTATATTTTGTATTAATCCGCTTATTTGCTGTTTCGATATTGCTTCGAAACGAGCTACTCGATTTTAATATAAGATAATTTTTTAGACTATCGGTTCTACTGTAATTATTGTTACTAAAATCTGGAAGTGAAGTCATATTCTCCAATGAAGAATAACTAATTTTTTCTTCTTGTGAATTTACGAAATTTTTAGATTTTTTTAAGTGTTCCGACCAAGCATCAGTGCTTTTGACATCGCAGAAACTATGTTTTTTTGGTTTTCTATCAAGTGTATCTGGTTCAAATTGATCACTATCAGTAGAGGGCTCGAAGTCACTTAATGGCTCATGTTGTACCTCAATTGTCATACTACCACGAAATGGTGTGTCATATTTGATTAATGGTTCCAATGTTTTTTTTACATTTGAATTACGAATATCTTCATATTCAGCAGAATTTTTTGATCCTTTTTTCTTCATATGACTGTCCCCGTCCTTTCGAAAACCTTCAACTTTATCATAGACCGTGTGCCGTATCTCAACTTCTTCTTCCAATGGTAAAGCTGTACTCAAACTTGGACTGGGATGGGAACTTATTTCTGAACTATTATTAGATGTTGGTGATGATGAGTTCGAACACTTTCGATTTTGGTGAGTAGTTCGTTCCAGACTGTCCGTTTCATAGTCTACAATTAAATACTGAGGTGATTTTCTTCTATATATGGGTGAGTCAGGTGGATGGTATAATCGACCATTACTCCTTTTCCCTAATGTACTATAGTCTGGAGTGGGAACTGATGGTATGACAATATTTCCATTTTGGCTATTGTTATAAATATTTTTAATTTTTTTATCTAGTGTACTATCATAATCTGGTGTTGGAATATTGAATGTTTGACTGTTTGGACGACTTGACGATGAATACATACCCATTGAATAATCTTTGGCTAATGCTTCATAAACCATATCTGGCATTTGTTTAATATTTTTCATCAATTCGTAATGTGATGGTTCAAGCTTTTGTGGATTGGAATATTGGTCAAGTACTTCCATACGCTTTTTTGAGGATCTCGAGCGAGTCGAACGCGACTTTTGTGACAATTGTGGAGAGTCGGAGTGACTAAATTTTGGATTATTATAAATTTCTGCACGATCTGTATATTGATAGATCGACTTTCCATCATAATGCCGATTCTTTAACACTGGAGTAATTGGTTTTTCTTGATGATATGTAATCTGTGAAGTCATCCCTTCTCGATTCGGCTGATTAATTTCAATGGTCTCCTTTTTTTGCATTAATGGAGACATTTTAATGTTCGAAGCATAAATAGCAGATTTTGTGGCGGGGCTTATAGCTGGAACTGGAGGTGGTTTTACTTTTGGAGGACTCATTTTTCGTAAACTTCGATTAGATTCTTGTTTTTGCTGCTTTGTAGTTGAATTAAAATTGGCATCAGAAATAATTTTACAGTTATTGAACTGCGTTGTTGTTGAAGTTGTAGGGTTTGGAATTTTCTTTATAGATTTATCAATATTTTCATTTGGTTGTGGAACTGTTTCTAACCATTTTTGTATGCTATTTGTTTTATCTCCAACTCCTTTATTGCTTATACTTATAACTTCTAAGCTTTGATGTTCTACTGGCATTTCTGTTTGCAGTTTTTTCGTTTCTTCTATTTTAACATAATTTACATTTTGTTCACGATGCTGACTACTTCTTTTCGAATATATTTCGGATCCATCAGTACGAACTTCTTCAATAATTGCACCCAATGAAGGTTGATAACGTTTACTAGCCATTTTATATTTAGCGATAGCGATAACTTCACGTATTTTAGTCAAAAATTCGATCGCTGCCGGTGGGGGACTCTAGGTGAAAAATAATAATTTGTTAATGATTTATTGTCTGAATAAATATATTCAAAATTCCATACTAAAAGTAAATGCGGTTCAAAATATGCTGGATTAAAATATAATTTTTTTCGTACTGTCCCATTAACCAATGCACGCATATTTTCAAGCTGTTTTTCCTCAACTCCTACTTCTTCAATTATTGAAACGTTTGCTTCTGGTAAGCATTCATTTTCTTGTGTTGGTGATGGTGATGATTCTTGTTGAACAGCATTACGTTCCATTTCAATTTTGTTACACGACGTTGGATGTATTATAGCCGAAGTTTGATTCTATAATATGGACGAAATTTGAAACAAAAAATACAATTTATTTTTTTATATTTATATGTACATATGTATGTATGGACAATATATACGTACAATTTTTAATTTTTCATTTTTACTTGATTGATTATCTTCAAATTCAGAATTAGAATTTGATAGATCACTTGTAAAACCCGAATGATCACTTAAGCTTGGAAAATGTTTTAATAATGGATTGTTTTTAATAACTCCAATATCTTCCTTTAAGCCACTTACTGGTGAATTTAAACTTCTGCTATGAGATCTTTGGCTATTTCTATGGTCATTAACACTGTTAATAGAATATGAACTTCCTGTTCTAGTGAAGGGTACACCAAAAGTTACTTGATCATTTTTGGGATAATTAATATCATTGTCTAAATCATCAAGGGAGCTACGTGCTGGTTCACTACTTAAATTCTTTCGTTTCTTTACATGTAAATAGAGAAAGACTGGAAAACGAAATGGAATAGTTTAATAAATAGTTGTTTTATAGTTCTAAGAATATGTACATTTACATCTACTTTTATAACGTTATTTTAAAAAGCTCTGTCTTACCTGAAGCCACATAAATCAATCCCAAAAGTAGACTACAAACACCGATTACAATATATTCCCTAGCACTTAATCCATCAGCTGCTGCCGATAAATTTGATGAAGCTTCTGATTGAAATAAGACCTCCGAAACATCTAGATAAATTTATTATGGAATATTAATACTACTAGTATGAATTTTTATTCAAATTAAAATACTTGAACTTACTATGAATATATTTAACCGGACTACCACTAATACGAAATGCTACACATGGTGTATAAATATTGTTTCCAATTAAATTTGCATTCGGATCTGCAAAAGATATAATTTTAATTTTTCATTTTTAAGTTTTTACCATATAATTTTAAATGAAAAAATATTAAGATAAATGAGAGTACCATTATTTAAAGTGCTTTTATTATTCGAAAATGTCATATCTCTACACATTAAATGTATTAGAACTAAACGTCCTTGCATTTTATGACGTAATTCTGGTTCACCCAACCACTGTAAACAAAAAATATTGTAATTTTTAATAAAAACTGTTAAACAAAACAAATATATATGTATATATATATATCAAGTTATATTTGATATAAATTTAATATTTACTTGTAGAAATGTTCTCCCTTCATCCCGAAACATACGAAATGGTAAATCTGTATCTATTGGATTTCTTAAATCCGCCCAACCATTTGATGTTAAATATTGAGAACCCGTGACTGCACATATTGGTGTTTGAATTTCTATATTTATTAAAGATAAAAAACAAAAAAATAAAAATTTCAAGATCAAAAAATATTTCATTCAAATTTTTTTATCAGAATTACCAGCAAAAATGATCTCTCGGCTTGGATAAATTATTTGACCACGTAATGGTAAAAATACAAATGGAATTTTTTCAGTAGATGAACCACTAACAAATGGCGACAATTTACATTCTATAAATGTCAAAAATAGAAAAATTAAATTAATTTTTATATACATACATACTTATGTATATTTATAAACATAATAAGATCAAATGATAACATCAAATAATGGTTAGTGTTAATAATTATATTTTTCAAAAATATAAAACCAGATTGAAAAATGACTATTTTCAAAAATATTCAAAATCATTATTTATTGTTACAATGGTGATCTCTATAATACTTTTTCTTTCTAAACACAGAATTTTTTAAATCTTATAATTAAAATTAATCACGCAATATATGACATTGTTCCAGATACAGCATTGATTTCTATAAATGATATGACCAGTATATTCAGTGCAGATCATTAATATAAAGATAAAAAAGAATTTTATAAGGTTAAATGAAAATTATGAAATATAAAACTTAAATTTTACAATAGTGTGTTTAGATTATTGAAATACTAGTTTAATTATTAGAAAATTAAGAACTTTAAATTATTTTATAAGACACAACACAGAATGCGGAATCAATATTACTTATTTTGATGTTTTTAAATTGTTATGGGATGAACGCATTTTCTGAAATGTATGTACTAAAATTTTAATCAAAAAAATTTAAAATTTTAATTGTAATTAGCAAAAATTAAGCCCTTATAGGATATGAAGCAAAATATTACGGCGAATAGGACCATAATAACATTTAATATGTATTGCATAGGCTTTCAACAAAATTAAATTAAAGTACCATTAAAATTATTTTACTATACCGTCACGCAGAATAGTAGGACAGTGATCAAATATAACAATTACAATCAAATATAACAATAAGCCTTCCTAACAATTATCTAGATTTTAGAATATCAAATTAATCAATAAACAGAGAAACATTTTTAAACTAAAACCAAAGAATTTGGTACATAAAAACTATAAATTTCTATTTCAAATTATTGAAATATTTCCCTACTGTGATGCTAATGATAATTACTATAATGTTTCCGATAATTTCTTAAATCCTTTCAATATAAATGCATTATAAAACTGAGCATTTATTTTATTGATATTTAATTTTCTAATTATTATATCGTTTAATATGTACATATATATATAATATGTACATATATGTTATGTATAGATAAATCAAATAAGTATAGCAAGCAGTAAAAGTAAAATATAGTTCATGTTTGCGTGCATACATGCATCTTTTATAACGAAAATTAATAATAATTATTGCTTAATAAATTTAATATATATTTTTTTTTTATTTGTGATCAAATATACCATCATATGTAATTGTTTTTTTTTTTTAATTTTATTTGTTTATTTATATATGTAATATAATATTTAAATTGCGTTATTTAATTTCACTATTTCTTTTACAAATTTTTATGATTTATAACAGTAATAATATAACATTTTAATATTCAATTTTAGAAATAAAATATTTCTCTTGACTTCTATATATATAGAAAAAAAAAACAAATATAGTAAAAATGTGCAACCGGCAAAAATGGTAACGATCATAATCAACTATTACTACAGACTCAAATGTATACATACAATCACCTATTATTCCTTACTGTACGCTTATATTAGAGAAAGTAAATTTTATGAAATGAGACAACACAGTAAAATCACAGTAAATAGCAAGCAAGTAAAAAGAAAACAAACAAATAACGTGAGTAAAATATTCAATTAATTTTAAAATGATTGCAAATTTTTATTTCTATTTTTCATTTTAAACGATGAAGAATACACCACGAAATTCCCAAATATTTTATTAATTTCCATACAATGACCTCCTCCATCTTTCTCCATTTTTTTTTTTCTTTTTTAATATTATCTTCAATTATTCTTTAGCAGCATATCGGTGTATCAGAGAAAACACAATATTTTGTTTTATGCATACTGTTGGAAGCACAAATTTATTTATGCGGCAACTATACCACGTGGGAGTTTTATTTTCACTTTCCTTAATAAATTTTTTTTTTTTTTTCTGTTGATCTTCTCAAACATTGGTAAAATGATTTTTTTTTCATGTCATCAAAAATATTAAAATTTGTTGATTTTGCTTTTTTCTTTGTTATTTTCCAATTTGATTTTGAATATTTTATATATGAGAAAAAGTGTTTTATTTTCAATTTTCATTTTCAATTAAGAAAAGTTAAAAAGGAAAAGTGTTTAAAAATTCGATTTTACTTTTTTCTTGTTTTTTTTTTTTTGTAATTTTCTTTTAATAAAACTAAAATTTTATTTTTAAATTGTTAATTATATAATCGTTATTTTCATGTATATTGTCTGGAAGGAAAAAAACAAAATAGAAATTTGGAAGCCGAATATATGCGAATCGGGGGGCGGGGGCCGGAAGGAAATTGGGGTCACTTTATGGTCATACATATTCCATATAATAGTTGACTAATAAAACAGCTGATTACTTAAATTATGTTGCGGCTTCTATTAAATTATGTTGAGGATACTTAGCCCAAACACAATGATATTGAAATATTTAAATATAACAATTGCGTTAATTGTTAGGGGGAGAGCAAAAAATAAAATGATATTTAAGAAAACCAGATTCAAGAAATTTTAGAATTAATTAATGAAAAATTGTGTAACTTAACATAAACTTTATGTATTTTGAATTCGAACAGAAACTATTTAAAGATTTTATTTGAAATCTTCAATTTTTAAGATCAATACAATTAAAATTAATCTTCATTTTAGCAGCAATATCACCGCGTTATTATATAACTTGGACAGAGGTGTTTTTCATAATTAACCCATCCAATATCATATTAAATTTAACTTAAAAACAAAATTTATATAAAGGTTCAAGTTTTATATTTCAAAGCCATGATAATGAAATACAAATGTTATATAGTGAATTAGAACAGTATTCAATGCATATATATGATGAATAGCAATCGGCAGCATTCATGTTATGAATGAATGTGTGCATATAGTCATTTTATGAAAAGGAACACTTTCTCATTAACACTGTACTACTTTTTATTTTATATACAAGGCAATATTGAATGCAATTCAGTAGTTAATAAATTACTGTTCTCATTTTCTTTTCTTTTTTTTTTTTATAATTTATTATTATATTACAAAACGTTTCTTTTATCAAACTATAAAATAGAAAACAAAGAAAATGTCAAGTTTTTCTATTACACACTTACAAAATCTCTATAGATCACATTCATGAACTCATTTTATTTTCTTATAAGTATAATCATAAATTTCAATGATGTTTGAAAAATGAAAAATTGCAAAATAAATGAAATTTTATATAAATGTGCTCCTCTTTCGATTTCCATAAGATTATATTTTTGTGGAAATAGAAAAAAATGATAATAATATAATTAATAATTAATAATTCATATGTTATGGCAATAGTATAAAATACTGTCATGAGGACATAAATTTAGTGCAAACAGAATAGATCCTTTAACTTAATGGAAATTTCTTCATGCAACTACAGAACAGATGGATGACGTAATCAAAGGAACGAGTTAAAGGCAGAAAAATTAATTAAACAATTTTTCTCCTCGAACTGGACTCGAAGCAGTGAACTACCGCTTTCTAGGCGGACGCTCTACCAACTGAGCTACAGAGGCATGAAGAAATTGCCCACGAAATGTTCTCTACATTGCTTTATACTGTAATTCACATGATTACTAAGTATTTGTTTTCGAGGAGAAAAATTTTTTAATTAATTTTTCTGCCTTTAACTTGTTCCTTTGATTACGTCATCCATCTGTTCTGCAGTTGCATGAAGAAATTTCCATTAAGTTAAATTATTAAGTGTAATAGGCACATTACTTATTAATTTCGCAAATATGATGTTGTATTAGTAAAATTCATAATATTATAGATCCTTATATTCTTCTGTTTTGAACTTCTATAAACAAAATTTTGACGAAAATGATTTAGAGAGGACAAAAAAGTATTACCAATTTTGAAAATTTTTTTGACATTGCTGACATCCTAGACCAGGGATGGGGAACCTTTTCTCTATATAAGGCCAAATTTTAGTCAATGCAAATCAATCAGGCCGCAAAGTTTAAAAAAAAGTCCAAAGGTTATAAATTTTTGCTTTGTGTAGGTTGATGAAAACAAAATTATGTCAGAATATAAAAAATAACATAAAACAGTTTATTTCATAAATAAAAATAGATAAGTAAGTATGTACATTATTAATAAAATAATATGGTTCATTATTTCAATGACTTTTCTGTGATTGTTTGTTGCTCGATAACAATTTTATATTTGGTTCCAGCCTCGTTGTCTTCAATCTTAGTTGGTCTTCCAAATGAGCGTTAGTTAATTGGGATCTCAAGCAGTATTTAATTTGCGTCATATGTGAAAATGTTGATTCACAGCAATAAGTTGTGCCGAAACAGGAGAGGATACGTTTTTTATAATAATTTTAAGTTTGAGCTTCTTTTAAATTTTTGATTTTGATAGGATTCAAATATCAATATGTGTTTGTTTTCAAACAATAAATAAATTTTGAACTCAAACAAATGTGTGAAAGCATTTTTTTAAAATTATTGAAAAAGTTTACTAGCGTGGCATACAATTATTCTGAAAGAAGCCCGGACATAGGATTCAAATATTAATATGGGTTTGTTTTCAAACAAATATGTATGTAAATTTTGAATTCAAACGTTGTTAGAAATTTCATGGCTTTGAATTTTCCAATTTTTAGTTTTCAAATTTGAAAGTTTATGTGCACGGTTTATTTTTCTAAATGTTTGATTTGTTTTCGAAAATTTGGCAGCAAAATTTTAATTTTTAAGAAATATAAGAAATAAATTTTTTTAAGGACAAAGGCCACTAAAAAACAGTTAAAAGGCCGCATGCGGCCTTAAGGCCGCAGGTTCCCCATGCCTGTCCTAGACCATTCCTAGAATTACTGCAAGAATAGACTGTTAAACAATATTAAGCATAAAACTGCAATATGAAAAAATTATTGAAATTTCTTTTTAATTTTATTAAATCTATAATGCTCCCAAAACTATA